AAACGAAGACCGATGATGACTTTTTCAGCTCACGAATGAGCGCGGCGTAACGTCGAAACACGGCAGAAGACACATCATCAAGATGTGACAGCTCCATGCAGCCACACCTTGTGGAAACTAGAATAAATATGCAGTAAACGCACACTCCGAATTCAATCCTCACTATACTCCAGGAGGCATTCGCCACCACGGCTATTAAAAACAAACAGACGCACATTTTCCACTTGCAGGGATCCCTCACTGTCTGCTGGCCTAAAAAAAGTATACATACACGTCTGAGGCAGCTGTGACATATACACAGATGAAGTTGTTTTCACCCCACACACACACACACACAGTCATTCAGCAATTGAGCTACTTCACAATTTCAGCATGGGGGTGGGGTGGGGTGGGGGGTTGGCGCAGGTCTGCTTGCTTGGGTTTTAATGAAAATCCCAGTGAAATCAAATGTGAATCTCACATCTTGACTGCCATAGTGGACTAACAATATCATTTAACACAAACATTTAAACTGGAACACCTCAGTGCTTTTCTCTTTTCTAAAAGGTCTGTGGGTCAAGCTTTTTTTATAGAAACTGTGTCACAAGGAGGAATCGAGGAGCCTACGAGTTCCTGGAAAGAGAACTGGATTAACTGGAAATAACTCGTTTCAGAAAGAAACCAAGCTCATGTTTACTATTCCCAAAGGGTCAGTTTCACCAAATTCTAAATATAAAGACATTTTTAGTTTCAGTTTTGCTTGTTTTGCTTGTAGAGGCTTGTGTTGGTTTCCAACGCATCCAATTACAATTAGTAATGAAACACATTATGAAAGTGAGGTTCTCTGTTTTTCTCATTCTGGTGAGCAGGCCTTAAGGGATTAAAAAAAAAAAGAAAAAAAGAAAAAGAAAAAAAAGAAAAAAAAAGGTGTGGTAAAAAATTCAGACGGTTACCCATTAACCGCCAATCACCAGCTTAGTTGTGAAGCTGGGCAAAGGCACGGGTAAACGTGATCAGGCGATTAACTGGAGAGTCAGTTGCTACAGCTTAGAGTTACGTGAACCCAATCACCCCCTCGCCCCAGGGCTGATTGAGGGGCATCTTTCTTTTTCCTTCTCCCAATTCAGTTCTAGTCAACACTGAATCAGCATGACTTTCTCATCCAGCCGACTCCCCCTGTTGTTATCTTTACATGCACTGGCGGGTCCATGGGGAGCACATTCACTCGAAGTGCATGACAGAGCTGGGGAGCAATATCCTGGGATGCAGTTTTCCCCAGAAGTACAAATCAGTGTGTGAGAATGAAGGAGAAGTGGTGATTAACCAGCGCTGGCCAGACGTTTCCTCCTTGTGGTTGCTCTGTTCAAGCCACATCTTTAGCCAGAAAAAACACTCTTGGTTTGTTGACAAGCTCCTCTGTGGGAAGTTATGTACATACAGAAGAAACGACGGGGATTTACCCTCCACAGAGATACAAAAAATAAAATTACACTTAAACTAAATATAGCTTGTCAAAGAAAGATTGTTTGTAGTCTAAACCACTGTTAACAATAGCTTTACCGCTATCCAGTATAGTTGCGGCTTTATCTTACCACTGCTGCGGTGTTCGCAATCATGACTTTACACCAATATTCCACTGAACAACAAGATGCAAACATGTGGT